TTAAAATATAATTATAATAAAATATAATTATAAAATATTATAATAAAATATAATTAAGAATATAAAGTTAAAAAGATGGATATGGCATATCGAAATGCTGTTCAGCTTCACGTCGCCAATCAATTAGAATACTTTTTGGAATACAATGAGAGGCCGCGATTTCAAATAAATGATGATCCATTTCAACTCTCAGAACGACAATTCGTTAAACTCTTTCGATTAAAAAAAGATACTACAATCAGACTGATAAATATTGTAGAAGAACATTCAGCAGTACCATTACGAACTTCAGTTTTGAATGCTACTGTACAGGTGAGCTTAGATGAAACATGCGGAATGAAATTGATTGTAATAAAAAATGTATGATTTTTTTTAAGGTTTTAACTGCATTACGTTTTTATGCGTCTGGTAGCTATCAAAATTGCGTTGGAAGTAATGTTCATATGCGTATCAGTCAAACATCAGTCAGCCGATGCATTCATAACGTTACTAATATTCTGAACTTACCAGAAGTATTTAACACATGGGTGTACTTTCCTAATAACATACAGGAATTACAAGAGATACGTAACAAGTAATGTATCTAGTCTATAATACATACCTTAATAGCAAACTGATATCAAAACGATGTTTTTTGATGTCAAAGGGTGTTTTTCAGCAAGGATACAATCAGACACAGTGTAACACAGTGAATCGTTTCCTTGTTTAACGTAAGCAAACAACAAGGATGTAATGATTTACTGTGTTACACTGTGTCTAACTGTGTCCTTGCTGGAAACCACCCAAAGTGATATATAGCTTGCTATCAGGGTATATTCATTTTATTAAGATTTTGGATAGAAAAGCGTTTTCCTGGAGCAATTGGATGTATAGATTGCACTCACATTGCAATATTCCCACCTCCGAAAGGAGATGCAAATTATCCTGAACATAACTATGTGAATAGAAAAGGATATACAGTTGGACCAATAAGTGTTAAAATATTTTGATCTATTTCTGTTAAGACTTGACTTGAGGCAGGTCCTCC